ACCTCGCTCAGCCAGTGAGCAGCCGGTCTGTATGTGGGATCCGAACCCTCGGCGGGAGCGTTGCCGCGCTTCCCAAGCGGCGCACTATAGCAGTGCGCCACCGGGCCGGCCCAACACAGTGCAATTTCTGATATCACTCGTTTTTTACCCAGAGTAAAACAATTTGGTTCTGTACGTAGTTCAAATCTTATTCATTTACAGAAGCAAAGCTAATTTTGCAGAATTTAGTAAGTGGATGCAAACAGCTATCTGATAAGGGCAAAGCATCGAGTTCAATCAAGGATCCTGTAATTTGATATTATTAATGTTCTCTTGCAGTCCTAAATAGGCCTAAATAATCTTCTCGTTATTTTCTATCCCTTCGATGCCACAGGCTTTGTTTTTTGCATTCTTGATGCCGAAATTAATCTATTTTAGACTACTAGTTTGGCTTAGTTTTCTATTTCCCGATTGTCAAATCACTGTGGGAGCAACTATGTCCTGAGTATTAAAGGTCTCTATGTCGCTCAGCTTGCTTTCCCTATTGGTTGGCTTCCCTCTCTCCCACTGTCTCAGCCTTTTCTTTCTCTTTTGCTTAGTTCCTTTTACATTCAAGCTGTGTAGGGGGATTTAAATTCTAACCCGGAACTCGGAATCGCGCGCTTTGCATGACGGAAGTCGTAGTTTCTGTGACTCCTCCCTAACCGCCTTTCGCGCTGCTTCCTCTTCACAGTGAAAAACTACAACTCCCAGAACGTGCCGTCGGGTGGGTCGGCCTCTAAGCGCACGCGCCCTGAGGCCGCAGGATTTGAATCAGCGGCGTTGTTATTGACGCCATATTGGGGCCGGCGGCGGGTGGTAGAGTCGTACAGTGGAGGGGGAAGCGATTGGACGGACGTGTTTGCTTGAGCTCCTGCCCCGCAGCCACCTCGCAATCCCTCCCCATCGACCACCGCTCGCAAGCAGCGGAGCGTACTCGGGCGTATTAGGAGCCGCGTTCTAGCCTCACGCTCCACGAGGCTGGTATCGGCTTCCCA